CCCCAAAACCCCAAAACCCCAAAACCCCAAAACCCCATTTATTGCTAAATAATAGGAATATATAGGAATAAAATGAGCTGGAAATTAGATATAAAGAAGAGCAATTCAGCCTCTAAAGACTATAACAAGCACAAGCTCCCCTTGCATAGGACCTATACTGGTAAAATTGGCATGGGTGAGCAGGAGAGGTCTCTCAGTTCCAATTTTTCAGACCTTGATATACAAGAAGGAAGTACAGCAAGAATTCGATTGGGGAATATAAGGAATAGTTCAAAGTATTTCTCTGAAAGAACCCTGGACCTAGAAAGCCAGACAGAGAGAAGACCTGTTGGTGTTTATAAAGGTAAACAGACACAATTTATTTTTAGTTGGAGCAGACAATATTCCTCGCATGCAGAGAAAATAATGATAGAGGCAAAAAGACCTTAGTGCTTGACTTAGATGAAACATTAGTTCATACAATCGGAGACTTTGATGACTACCCAGCAGGTTGTAAGCCTTTTACTTTGCTATGGAATGTAAAGAAGAAAGGGAAGCTTAGAAAAGCTACAGCTACAACATTTATTAGGCCAGGAGCTTTTAATTTCCTTAAAGAAGTCACCCAGATGTTTGAAGTAATCTTCTTCACAGCAGCCACTGAAAAATATGCTAGAGAAGTAACTAAACTGTTAGACAGAGATTTTTATAAACCATATCTCTTGACAAGGAAGGATTGCATATTCAGAGATGGGATGTTCATCAAGGATCTTTCTATTATTCCGAGAAACTTAAAGGATGTTATAATCATAGATAACTTATCAGAATCGTATCTTCATCACCCAGACAATGGATTGCCGATCCCATCTTGGGTTTGAGATCCACAAGATGAAGCATTTGACAAGATACTAACAGTGCTCCAGATACTTAATAAGGCTAATGATGTACGCCCTTTAATCAGAAAATGTGTAACTAATGAAAAGATTTTACTGTATAAACTTTACGAAATAAGCAAAAATCAGAAGAAGTCTTCTCCTAGCTCAAGATCCAATAATTTAATAAAAGGTTTTAACAAAGGCACTACTGCTTTGTTGAGTATTTCAGAAAAGGATTCAACCAAAGATAACTCTAAAATCAATAATTCTGAGTTGGATAATCAAGAGAATAGCATCAATGGAACCACACAGAGATATAAACGTAGAATGAGTATTGCCAAGATCTCTCAGAATTTTTCCCTAGTAGATTCTTTCAGTTCAAATTCTATATGTGATCTTAGACACAAGGTAAGTAAAACTACACAAAAATTGTTAAGTTTGTAGGAACTATATCCACTTTTCTTAATCTATAATTTTCTTCTTCATAATGACCCTAATGCAACCAAACCATAATCTGCTCTTCAGCTCAATAAATCCCTCTTATCCTCATAAGTTTACTTTTTCACAACCTTCAGGAGGACCATTTTGTTTTCTGAGTGAATCACTAATTCCACATAATTCCACATAATTCCATCATCACTTTAACATAATGTAGAATTACAAGAAGCAGAGCTACACGCCCAAGTCAGTGAAAAGACAAAGAGCCGATCATCCTTTGAATGACTTCTCTGCAGAGTCTCCAAAGAGGCTAAAGCCATCGAATGTGAAGCTATCTCAAAAGAAGCTTATCTCTGGTATTGAGCAAGAACCAGGAATATTGAACCCCAGAGTGACCATGCAGCCTCGTGCTAGGCACCCTTTGCTGAACTTCAGTGTGAGGAGTTACAAGAGGCAACAGACTGGGAGACAAGGTAAGTAGTATTCCTAAAAGTCATAATCTCCTTGTGAAATTTTATATTTATTTCTAATTTATTCACAAAATAAAAACCAACCTTTTCTTTAAACTTTTAGTCCACTTAAAATTTTATTCTGAGGGATATCTACATAGTTGGTAAAGTAGTATTTTCTGCTGGATTTTGAAGCTATTCTCAAGAAATTGTTGCTAACCAACCATTTCATAGTATATTGTCCCAAAAGACATGCGCATAGCTTAGCAATGATTAACCAAAAGCCAGAAGAGAACTCCAAAATCTTCAAGTATGTTAAAGAAGATTCAGAGGTTTCTTACGAAGATGGTGGTACTGAAGAGCTTATCTTCTACTAAGCCCTAATAATCTTGCTAAAATAGATAACGATAAGGTATTCTACATAAGAAACTTACCAGAAGGATTGGTCTCTAGGTGAAGTAAGTAGGTGAACTTGCCCATGCTCACAAATAACTCAATTTGGTTGCCAAAATAGGGGTTTTGGGGTTTTGGGGTTTTGGGGTTTTGGGG